TATTTGTGATGTGAAAGTCACATTCCCTTGCGTCTATCTGTAAGAATAATTGCAACAGGAAATCTAGCACTCACCAATCATTAACTCCAGTCTCGTACACATAAGCGATCAGAGAAGTGACACAGAGGCGTCATCGATACCATAGTTAAGTAACTGCCCTAGTCAATGGCAGTTTTCTTCCCGAATTTTATTGCCATAAACGCCTTTAAGTACCTGTATTATATGACTTATACGCTACTGCAATATATGAATAAAATGTGATTCAGCAAATGGGAAATTCGTATGTTAATATGTGGAATGGCATCGCGACGTTCCCCCTTCGGGTGTTTTCTTCAGAGAACACTTTGACTCATGTCAGTATATTTGGGAGATATATATTGACTTAACGATGGAACTGCGTAAGGGACACCAGATTCGATTGCCTAAGGCTGACTCGTCCAACTGCTTCTGAGGTTGGTCACTTCTAATGAAGCAATAAACCACGAGTATATAGCGTTCGTCCCCTGCCTATTGGGCTGACCATCTGCTAGTGTTAAACAAAGTGTGTGAGAGTTTGAACACTGTTAATACATTCTGTTACAGGAACATAATTCATGAACACGGTAAAAAACTGATAAATTGACAACACAGAGACACGTAGTAGGAGATTATTTGGGTTCCATACAGAAGAACGTAGAAAATGTATTTAGACCGTTTTAGATTTAGCACATGGCGTTGATATATGGCAAGCAGGGTTTCTAATGAAAACTGACTGTTTCGATAGTAAGCCGCGCTAGATATTTAAGAGCTTCAATACAACAAATCAGTTTTATATAACTTATTGCTTCTAGTTCGATAAATATCTGTTACAATTAGCGACTTCTACGTATTTAGTTCTTGTAGGTGCGATACTTTTGGTCTCCTGGCCACTACCATTTCGAAGAAATGAGCTGTGCAACAATGAAACCTATTGAACAGAACCAACAACGGCAATCTTGGTGCGTTTTGGCGGTTTTTAATTGGAACGATAACTTTTAAACACGCTCCCACTTGCTGCGACACCATTTGCTCTGATCACCCTGCTCAGTTGCAGCCTTTGTCCACCTGAACAAGGTACACTGCCTATATTCCATTAATTTCTTAAGAGACAACTACACGGATTAATACCGGCAAGTTCAGCTGTCATGGAGGTTGGTATCCTTAGCGCCGTAACTAGCGACTTCTACGTATTTAGTTCTTGTAGGTGCGATACTTTTGGTCTCCTGGCCACTACCATTTCGAAGAAATGAGCTGTGCAACAATGAAACCCATTGAACAGAACCAACAATGGCAATCTTGGTGCGTTTTGGCGGTTTTTAATTGGAACGATAACTTTTAAATACGCTCCCACTTGCTGCGACACCATTTGCTCTGATCACTCTGCTGCAGTTGCAGCTTTGTCCACCTGAACAAGGTACACTGCCTATATTCCATTAATTTCTTAAGAGACAACTATACGGATTAATACCGGCAAGTTCAGAAGCTGTCATGGAGGTTGGTATCCTTAGCGCCGTAACTTGTTTGTTATGCTAGCAACTGAAAGCTGTAACATGTTTACCGGAATGGGTCTATCCAGCTATCACATTTGAACTTACCCAAGGCCATGAGATAGTCTCTATAGAACGGTGATTTGAAGTGGGCCTTCAGAACTGCTAACCACGGCGTTAATCCAGGAAAGGCCAAAGAAAACCCGGTTGCTTCAGTCATGAAGTTGACAAAAGCACCAGTACTAAACACGCCGTGCGGATGATACCCTACCATATAATTGCGCTTTGTAGAGAGACCACCGAATCCACCGAGTTGGTTCCCACTTTTGCAGTCGACTGCAGCTTCGGCATGCTCACTTTTTAGAAGCTCATCGCTCAAAACAAGCTGGATGGGAAAGTAATCGGCCATGCGCTTCCACAACCACAGATTTCGCAACCATGTCCGTGGATGTGAACCTCGCTCTTCTGCGCGCAAATCATGCTGCCAATAATACAAATACAAGCCAACCAGAGCCGCCAAAACCGAAGTATAGAGGGCTTCCATTTTATCCCACGATGTGATGCTGTAGACAAACCAATCTTCATGTGGTTCACTAACGCTGAACCAAACGAACAAAACAAGATGTTTCAGCATAGAATAGATCAGATACATGAAAACTGCATAGCATGATATTCCGAAGAACAGGAAACCGGTCACCCACTGACACACAGAAGAAAATTCCACGAAACGCACAAAATACGATTTGGGACGTCGTGGTCGCGGCTTAACTATTATTCCCAGGTCAGAAGTGAAGCTACTCTGGTCGCCAACCACAGCTTCTGTCATGTCATCTATCCTTCGGTGGGCTACTGATTAGAAAATAAGCATGCATAGCTTTCAGGTAAATAGCATCTGACGCTGGCGATGTGAATTCATGCGATTGGCGTTGCAAACTACATGGTCTGGCGGATCACGTGAATCACCAGCATTGACTGTGTGCACACACTCGGTCGCCTCTTTAAGTCTATCCGAACAATCAGGCGCAATCATTGGTCTAAAGGCAATCACAGCCTATCAATTTGATTTGTATGGGACTCTTTAATTCGGCATTCCTTGAGCAAACTTTTGATTCCTTTATATATGCTTTGAATATTAGGTTGCTTATCAGTGCCGAATTACTGTAAACAAGGACGGAACAAACTGAGCGATCAGCCATTATAGATCACACTGCGAAAAGCGGCAATCCATGTTCGTCTATTTCATCGTTTTCAGTGTCGTGCCATATTCAGATCATGAAAGATGGAAACATTTAAACCATAACTTCCCGTGAAGGTGGCTGACTGGGGCCTACCCACCACTGTTCAACGCCAAAGACAAATATTGACGTACACCGATTTCAGTTGCCCCGCTAAGTCCAGCTTTCTCTCCTAAGCGGTCGGTGACACAGCCCCCCCAAATGCTTCAGTATCGTCGAGAGTGGCCGTCTCTTGAAACAAGCATAATGATCCATTTCACCCAAAAAATTTCCAAGAGACCTGGAACCATGTAGCTTCCGTTGAAGGATTTCTAATCACTGCCTTTTTTTCTAAAGTGAAAGGGAGGCTGCGGATAGCAGACGCTATAGCTTGGCCAGTAACCCAATGATTGTCCTTTAAGCAGCTGGGCTAAAACCTGACTCCACTCTAATGGCAGCGACGACACAAAGCATGCTTAGATGGCTAGGTTGACGAGGTATCAACTCCAAACTCCAGTGGCCACGTATGTGCCGTCAACCTCGGAGATTTTCATGCTACTTTGCACGTCAAAATTTGTTGGGCAAAGACTAAAGGTATCAAAACGATTGACAATAGGGACGCATCCGCTGACTTACATTGCCTCGTAACTTTATCCCAACCAGTCGGTTTACCCGAAGCTAGGGTGTTTCCTGGAAGTGACACGTTCTGTGTCAGTCTAGCAGCTCGTCGAACAAAGGCCAGCCTACGCTATCAACAAAGGAATACCTGTTAATTGTGGCTGCTGAAATGCCCGCATCCTGATGAGCGATTACAAGCGAATACAACTGTGCGATTACTCCCTAGATATCGGATGCCCCTATGAGACCAGACTTCTCAACTCAAGCGTCATGGAAATCCATACAGTTAGAATGGATGCTCACCACTGGGTCTGCTACAACTTTCCATTGGACAACTCAGATCTATACGAGGTCGTCTTCAATTGGGTGGTCATGGCCACAATACGATTATATCTTGGATCCACGTTCGGCTCAGAATTATAGTAGTTCCAGTCGGAGAGACCAAGCTAAATATAATTCTTATAGCTGAGTTCACGCACCTATCTCCTCAACAAATCACACTAACCAGGAAAATCTTCATGAAGAGTTGCATAATATGGTGTCCTGTTTTGTTGATTGCAGGGGACTGGAGTGCCAATTTATGCCTATTAGACGATTTAGGTTGCCATAATCTAAGTAAGCTCAACCTAATAGTTAGCTCTTTCCCACTCTGGCATACGGAATTCGTAGGTGGAATCGAAATTCGATTTCACTCTGTTTTGATCTAGTCTTTGACCGCTGTTCGTGCACTGCCTTTTTTTCTAAAGTGAAAGGGAGGCTGCGGATAGCAGACGCTATAGCTTGGCCAGTAACCCAATGATTGTCCTTTAAGCAGCTGGGCTAAAACCTGACTCCACTCTAATGGCAGCGACGACACAAAGCATGCTTAGATGGCTAGGTTGACGAGGTATCAACTCCAAACTCCAGTGGCCACGTATGTGCCGTCAACCTCGGAGATTTTCATGCTACTTTGCACGTCAAAATTTGTTGGGCAAAGACTAAAGGTATCAAAACGATTGACAATAGGGACGCATCCGCTGACTTACATTGCCTCGTAACTTTATCCCAACCAATCGGTTTACCCGAAGCTAGGGTGTTTCCTGGAAGTGACACGTTCTGTGTCAGTTTAGCAGCTCGTCGAACGAAGGCCAGCCTACGCTATCAAAAAAGGAATACCTGTTAATTGTGGCTGCTGAAATGCCCGCATCCTGATGAGCGATTACAAGCGAATACAACTGTGCGATTACTCCCTAGATATCGGATGCCCCTATGAGACCAGACTTCTCAACTCAAGCGTCATGGAAATCCATACAGTTAGAATGGATGCTCACCACTGGGTCTGCTACAACTTTCCATTGGACAACTCAGATCTATACGAGGTCGTCTTGAATTGGGTGGTCATGGCCACAATACGATTATATCTTGGATCCACGTTCGGCTCAGAATTATAGTAGTTCCAGTCGGAGAGACCAAGCTAAATATAATTCTTATAGCTGAGTTCACGCACCTATCTCCTCAACAAATCACACTAACCAGGAAAATCTTCATGAAGAGTTGCATAATATGGTGTCCTGTTTTGTTGATTGCAGGGGACTGGAGTGCCAATTTATGCCTATTAGACGATTTAGGTTGCCATAATCTAAGTAAGCTCAACCTAATAGTTAGCTCTTTCCCACTCTGGCATACGGAATTCGTAGGTGGAATCGAAATTCGATTTCACTCTGTTTTGATCTAGTCTTTGACCGCTGTTCGTGGGCAGCAACATTGCAGGGAATTTGCAAACCCGACTCGTCCTGTCATAGGAGATCGTTACCATGAAACTGGCGTGCTCTGTTTTGTCAGTTTACTATGTAGGGGCATTTTTTCGTGCTGTCGTCCAAGTATGCACTAAATTCATACCGAAAAAACGGCAGAGCTACAAAGGGAGTTGAGTAGTTTTCAGTAGCAAACTTCGTGAAGCAATAGTAGGTTTAGTTCTTGGTGAGAATTCAAAAGTTTCCATTTACGAGCACGATGCAACTGTACGTTCCTTCTTTGCCCAGCCAACTCATACTTCGCCGATAAATATCTTCAGCATCTAGAGCTCAACCCCACTGAAGCCTGCAAAGAACCATCACTTATCAAGTATCCAGCCAAAATAAAGAGGCTGTTTGCAACTTAGAAATGAAGACACTTCAGTGTAAGCGATAGAAAGATTTTTAGAGCAAGCCTACTGCGTTCAAAAATATGTAAAAGAATCTGTTCATTTGGTTCACATAATTTTTAAGTTAGCTTCATAAGAATGTGTTAGGCTAAGCGTGCTTCCTGTCTCCAGCATCTTATGCAACCTCATGATGGTGACTGAACTTACTATATCCGAGCCTACCATGAGAAAAAGGGCCTTTTCTTCTTTGGTTTGAGTAAGCGATGCTGATAGGCGATAGTTAATCACTTCAGGGGAGGAGGTCAGTTTGAATCAGTCAGAATATTCACTAAATCATACTTTTCTTAGAAATCCCATAAACTTGTAGAAAAATGCTGAGGAAATAACTTCGTGGCAAGCCCGTGACTATGGAGTTCGAATACTCCGTTTGTCAGTTTTTGACTGCTCTCAGATTTTTACATCCAGCTATCAAGGAAATCAGCCTTTTTTGTTTTTTATCCTGCACATGCAACCACAGTCGTACACATTTACTTAACTGATGGTGGCCTACAGCTTACTCATATTCATTTAAAACATCACTCTGTGAGCCAGTGTGCTGGAACGTACCAGGTAACCGGAAAAGGACTCTGTGTAGAGGTTTGCAATAAAGCACTCCGGGAGGTCAGTCCGATGAACTATTTTGAAAAGGCACAATTTTATTTATGCTGAACAGGATGACTTCTTGTGTTTTACGTTCCTCGAACTGAAGTGGATAGTCAAATGTGGACAAACTGTGGGGAAAAAACTTTCACGGTAGCATTCAAATGAAGTAATCAAACTTCACACAATTGGGTGGACTTTGTAGGTATGTTTTCTCCGTTGTAATGTTCGCTTAAGAATCACGGATAGCCCTCTGCTGCATATAACCAGATTTCAACAATTAGACCTGATCAGAATGGCTTTTCGATGGTTTTCGAAGCTGTGTTCCAAGCAGTTACATGAGCGCGTAGTCGGTGGTGCACTGGGTTATCGAAAATTATTGTAGGTTGATGGTGCAAAATGTTGTACACACTTTTAAGTTATATCTCAATTCATCCAATGAAGGGTTTCCTTGTCGAAATGGTTAAGTATGAGATCATTAGACCATGAATTGATAAAGTACAGTTTAGGCCTAATGTGAAGCATTTCATTGGATTTTCAACCACCTTACACAAGAATCGTTTCGCCACGACAGGAAGCCAGACTTCACGCTCACGCAGACTTTTAGTGATTACTTCGACACTCCAGTTGTACACGGCCGCATGTGATAGTAGAGGTCAGACTGATTCATTAAAACAAATCTCTGGGTACAAACATCCTGTTTATACAAATTGGAAACTAGACAATATGTTACAAGCCCCATGAGATACTTCAAGCTTAATGAAATCAGTATGAGGTTTTTCCAGTGTGTATACATCCAATTGTGTTTGTATACCTCCATTTAAAAATAACAGTTTCTAGTGGAGGACAAGATCACAGTATTATCATAGTACGCTCGAGGTGTTGGTACTGGAAACTAGTGTAGGCGAACGGATTTTAGTTCAAATGGCTGTTCTGCCCCTCAAACTGTATTGCATGTGACTGAGTTTGGAACCCCAGAAAACGACACCTCAACCATATTGTTTCACATTGGTAGTGCAGATATTTGTGATCATTTTCACTTCACTAACAATAACTTATTTGTGGGGATGAAGATATATATGCAGAACGCAGACAAACGTCCCTGTGGGTTACGTTTCAAAAGCCCTCGTTTTCATATAATGCTGTTGAATTTAGGGGAATATGTATTGTGTACCGTGGAGACAATGTCCTCAATCCGGTGAGATTATATTCCGTCCGTGCGTGGGAATGATG